TCTGGGAAGAAGAAAGGCAGAGATGCCAGGAGACTCAGAAAAAAAAAAAAAAAACAGGAGGTTCAAGATGGAGAGAGGTGACAGGATGTGATAGAACATAGATTAATATACATAGGTTAAGTTCTCAGAGTTAGTTAGAAATGAGCCTAAGCTATAGGCTGAGCTTTCATAATTAATAAGTCTCTGTGTCATTATTTGTGAGCTGGCAGCCCAAAGAAAAATCCATCTGCAGGAGACCACAAAGCAACACACACACACACACACACACACACACACACGTTAGAACTGGCCATGCACTATAATGAAGATGCAGAGAACAAAATGCATTTTTCATAATCATCAGCCCGCCATATCGACCACTAACTTGATAAGACTAAAATCAAGACAAAGCCTGCTATTCGTTACAAAAGGATGGATGTGTTTATCTAAGAAGGTAGATATCTCTACAGTGGATATTACAACGTGAGAAACTGGCAAGGATGTTGAAGACCATCAAACCGTGTTCGGGCCTCCAAAGGAAATTGTTATAATATCCATTGCTGTACAAAGCAATGCATAGATTCAATATAATTACTATCAGAGTATCAGTGGCATTTTTTTCACAGGACTAAAAATAAGTCCTAAGATTGGTGTGGGGCCACAGAAGAACCCAAATGGCCCAGGAACTTGCATCCAAAAAGAACAAGGCTGGAGATAGCGTAATACATAACTTGGAATCATCCGCAGGCTGCGGAAGTGACTCAGCTGGCAGAGGTCTTGCCTAACATGCCCAAGGTCCTGGGTTCAATCTGAGGCAAAAGGGGAAATGAGGTTGAGGTTTGAAACAGATTGGAATAGCATATATCGCAGGGTGTATAGTGCACATCTGTAATCCCAGCACTTGGGAGGTAGTGATGGAGTTTCTAGGGTTTAAGGTCATCTTTGGTTACATAGTCTGAGTCTGAGGTCAGCTTACATTATATTAGACCCTGTCTTAAAAAAACAAACAATGCTTTATAGCTTGAGTAAGCAAAGAAGCATGAACCTAGCATAAAAAGAGACACGATATGGAGCTGAAGAGATGGCGGTTAACAGCACTTGCTGTTCTTGAAGAAAACTAGGGTTCACTTCTCAGCATCCACTCATAGATGCCTGTAATTCCTGTTCCCAGCGATCTGAAACCCTCTTCTTGCTAAGGTCACCTGCATGTAGAGTGTGTGTGTATACACGCACACACACACACACACACACACACACACACACACACACGTTCCTGCTATAGGAGGTAGCTGGCAGACATGCTGACATATGGGGAGGGTGACTCTATGAATGGGCCCAGCCTCTTTTCCAGGGCACCTTTGCCTTTGCCTGGACCCTTCTGGAACCACATCCAGGTGTGTTCTGCTCAGTTCCCATAAACAAGAGCTGGGATTCCACGGGAGGCGGCCAGAAAAGTGGGCAAACACCATGTGAAGTGCTCCCATCTCAGATCTGCCTGTGCTCAGCCAGGGCAGTGGCCAAGACAGAAGCTCTGGCTTATTAGAACAGCAATGGGTAGGGCCCTCAAGACTGTCCCCAGGCCACAGAAGGGTCCTCTGACAGCCTCCGTCTCTTCCCACCACTTTCCCAAGCTCAGGAATGTCACTGGATAAAAATACTGCAGACATATGTCATCAGTCTGGCCTGTCTGTGGGGCTTAGAGTTGTCCAGCAGCAGGCCTGTCGACCACAGACCTGGCTGTGAGGGTGGAGCGAGCACCAGCAGAGAGAAGGCAAAGAAAACCCTAAAAAGGATCCACACAGAAACATGTAGCTGCCTGCTTCCCTGTATGGGCTCTTAACACTCAGGGGCATCAAGACACAGGCTAATATCAAAAAAAGACAGCTTTACCAATCGACTCTCTGTGTGCAAGAAGGCAGGGCAGGGGGACAGGCAGGAGCACTGGGTGTATCTCTGCCTGGGAAGATTTCCTGAAGGAAGCAATTTCTGAACATGTGACAGTGTGCACTAACGCTGATATGTGTCAGGGTGGACTCCAATGCATCCTCAGGGGACAGGCTCCTTCTGTCCAAGGACTCTCGTCTCTCCTCCTAGAAGAGCAGCAACAATTCTTTCCTTGGTTCAGATCATCATGGGGTATACAGGGAAGGAGCTCCTGGTCCCTTGGGCACACCCAACTGTGTGACCAAGGAATCTTCCCTCTCTGAGCTCCAGGGTTCTCATCTGTACCCAGTAAGTAGCCAAACTTGACAGAGGTGCTGCTGCAGTCCCTTTCACCTTTCAAGAGGCCTCTGGGTAGGTCCTGGGAGTGGGGCTGGGCCACACAGTTGAAGATAAAGGGCTTACAGAGGCAGTCTTTTCACGTGCTCAGAAGCCTCACGGAAAGTCAGGTCCCATGATGACCACAGTCACCCTGCTGATAGAGTAATCACTAGCTCCTCTCTGTGGCCCTGGGAAGTCTGGGGCTCTGCACACTCAGCGCAGCTATAGAAAGGGTTTCCCACCAAGAAGAGGTGAGAGGGATGCATCCCAGAGGCCTTTGGGTGGGGTAAGCAGAGCTAGGGTGCCATGTTAGCACCACCTACTCTTTGGCCCTGAGGCACTGCAGGACCAGCCTCCCCCTGCCCTACCTGTTACTCCACATGCTTCCGCACAGGGTCAAAAGGGCCTGCTCCTCCCCTCTGCAACTATCCCTTAGGTTCAGTGTCCAACTGACCCTTGCTGGCAGCCCACATCCCTTCATTCTCCCTGCCAGAGGCAGGGGCTGGGCACCTCACATAAGAGCTTCCAGAAGCTTCTCTGCAACCTTTCCTCAGGACTGACTATACTGACTATACATTCCCATGCCACCTTGGGCCTGGAACATGCTCCTTGGAGGCTGACCCCAGCCTGTCAGACTCACGAAGAGGGAACAGCATCACAGCAAGGTGCATAGGAGCCAGCAGTTGGCCTGGAATGTCAGAGCTGGGGGGCACCATGGAGCTAATCAGTGCCCACCTCCTAGATAAGGGTGCTGAGGAGCAGGGGCCCTGAGGCAGCCAGGTCATGGCCAGCCTGTGTATCTCGATACTCAGAAGCCACCGACAGAAGCAGCTGCAACTCTCCTCTGCTAGGGAAAGCACTGAGAATGCCACCCTGCATTGTGCACTGGGAGCAGCCACTGTTTGCAAAGGGGACACCACACCCAGGAAGCATGCATTCTGGACCCTACTTTGCCACCAGAGGGCCCGAAGCACCAAACTCCCTAAGAAACAGAGGTCACAGCAGCTGAGGCCTGACCCCTGTCATTGTAACACCATGGCTTCTTTCCTTTCTTGCCTCAGTAGCTCCCAGGACCACCTTGGCCTGCTATAGGTCCCCATGCCTCATGACCCCAGAGTAGAGCTGCTCTTCCTCAGACTGGATTTCCATGGGCTTGTTTCCTCCTCCTCCCTAGCTGAGAGCCCTGGCCAAGAAAAAAAAAATGCCTGTAGCCACCCAGCTGAGGGCAAGCCAAGATGAAGGGCTCCACATACAAGCAACAGTGTACACAGAAATACCAGGCTGACTGAGAACAGGTTGAGGTGGCTATGTATTTCTGGACAGTCAGGGAATGACGCCAAGAGATGACACCAAGGAGCCAGGCCCCAGAGGAGAAGGTACATAGAGAAGGCCCAAAGAGACACCTCAAAATCTATTCTTTTCCAGGGCTGAAGAATAGAGATGCTGTCAGGGAACCAGAAGGGAAGACTTGGTCATCCAGAAAGCCCTGCAACTGCCTCAGCTCCAGCTCCATCATCCTGCCAGCTATCTTCCTAGGTCTGTTGAACAATTACTCAGTGGCCACTCAAAAGTCACAGCCAATACAGTGCAGCCCCTGCATTTGGAAAGGCCAGCCCAGGCAACCACCAGGTGCAGCTGCAAGCTCCACTCATGATCAGTTCCTGAGGTACTAGCAAAAGCCACCAGGAAGTTCTTGGGAACTGAGCAAACCAAGACTGTGTGTGAGGGGATGGAAAGGAGGTGCTCAAGTTTAGGTTCAAGAACCAGGGAGGGGGTAGTGTCTCTCAAATCCTCTGCTAGTCACAACCAGGATCTCCAAGCAGCTCGACAGAGTAAATACAGCAGAACATCTGCCCTTGACCCTGGCCAAAGTCCAGCAGTGAGGCAGTTGAACCTCTGTGACCTCAGCTAGGAAGGGGACTTCTCTCTATGGGGACACAAAAGACCACAGGAAAGGATTAGGGTGAGGGGGTGGGGACCCAAGCAGCAAAGGGCAGCGCCTGAGGGCATGCCCTGACCCTGTCAGCCTGAGAAGGCCAGCACAGACTCAGGAAGAGCTGCTCTACTTGGGCCAAGGCAGGGGTCCCCCAAGGAGGGGCCAGGATGTCCGGGCCTGTTTCCCCATATGCATGTGGGAAAGCATACCCCAGAGCCTGCAGGACGCTGGCTCTCATCCCTACTCCCTCCACTCCCACACATTTGTTCCCTGCTTTTCAAGAGCAAATCTGTCCTTCCAGCCACAAAATCATCACCTGATTATGTTCTAGAGTTCATCTTACCAAGAGCAGAACTTGCCGTCTGCCAATGTTGCGTTTGTTACTTAGAGCAACACCAGGGGCAACCAGCATGAATGACCATGCATTCCATAAAGATGTGACCAGGCTCCTAGCTGCTGGTCATGTCTCCTCTCAGCAGACTGCATGACCCAGAGGGTCCTGCCCACCTCCTAAAGGTGAAACTCCCTTCCCCCAGAGTCAAGGCAAGTGCCCAGCAGGGTCTCCCCAGCTTACTTACTCCTTGGCCAGCCAGTGCTAGGGCTGGGGAAGGCTGACCAACTGCTACTGAGCAGCTAGCATCTCACTCCCTCTTCTCAGCAAAGAATCCCTTAGACCACCAATCTAGAAAGTGAACAGGACCCTATGGCTCCTGGCTGCTGGGGAGGCTGGGCAAAGGCAGCTCTGCTGAGCAAACTTCCCGAGGGCTGAACAATCCAATTCAGGAAGAAAGCACAGTGTAAGCACAGACTTCCTCTGGGGCGGGACAAGCCCTCTTCCTCCACCAGGGCCAGGCTACCACAGTCAGGAACTTAACGATGCTCATTCTAAGGACCTAAATCTCCAGGAGGATACCATGTAAGTGTCTGAAGGCTGCTCACCTTGGCAAATGGGGCTGCTGGACAAAGAGGTAATAGGGTGGGGGCTTCTCCAGAACCCCAGGCCTTTCATCTTAAGGATCTTAGGGTCCAGGAGGTCAGTGCTGGGAAGTAGCAAGCCATGTGTTTGCTAGACATTCAGCGGTAAGGCCCCTTGGGGGTCTTTGCACACTATTCCCTGCGCCCTGAGAAAAGCCCATGGCCGCTGAGACACACGTCGAGCTGTTATCACCCAAAGCAGCAATGAAGTCTCAGGGGTCCTGGCACTTTGGGAGGCAAGACTGGGGCTCGGGTGGCCTTAAGGACAAACCAAGAATGCCTGTGGGGGCAGGGTGTCCTGGGACTTGCCCTGGCTACCATGGAAGATCTTTGTCTCCCTGTGCAAGTCAAGCAGCCATCAGATCTCACCTTCGTGAGCCTGGCTCTTGCTGTGCCTCAGAGGAGTAAACAGAACCCTGGACACGCAGCGGAGGCCCTGCCCAGGTGGCAAAACTAATGGAGCTTCCAAAGCAATTAGCTGCGGGGTCGGTAGGGTAGAATCTGAAGCCAGAGGGTGGCAGGGCACCAAGAAGCTGGGCGGCCAGGAAGTACTGCCTCAAGGTGGCCAGGGGGAGGCAGCAAGGAGGGCAGCCAGACCATTGCTGGAGATGACTTCCTGTGCCCCTGCCCTTGAAAAATGGAATGCCCTGCCCCTCTCAGGCCGCTGGTGAGAATGAGAGCCACCTGGTAGCAGGGAAGGCCAGGTGCAGTTCTGCTCCCTCCCCTGTTCTCTAAAGCAGGTGCTGTGCGTGGACTCTTGATAATGTGTCCGCTGGGCTCAGGGCATCCAGCCCACTTACATCAGCTTGGGTTACCGAAGCTGTGGGTACACCCCTGTTGGACATCTTGGGCAACACCAATGCACCTGCTGGTCCATCCCGTACAAGTCCCTGCTACTCTGAGTGCCCGAGATAGAAATACCCGCCAGGGTTTGGTTGGGTTTGTACACAGACACCAGTCACTCCTAGGGGCTCCTGAGTTTCCTGTCACTGCTGACCCACACCAAACGCAGGCTCCTGGCTTGCTTACTCCTCCTACGGGGACTAACTCACAAACGCAGTTCCTCCATCCCAAGAGTTTAGTGTTGGGGAACTCTTGGGCTGGCATACCCCATGTTCCAAGTGTCCCCCTCCACATGCCTCTCAGTCACAGCAGAGTCTCTGAACTTAAGGGAGCAGCCCCCAGTCTGATTTCTGTTTCTGTGATTAGCCTTTCCTCGCCTCCCTCAGGGTCGCAGCGGCACCAGCTCAGAGGAGCGCGGGGAGGTTACTCACACGGTGAAGTGGTACACGAAACACTTCCAGCCCGTGGGGCGCTCGAGGAAGTTGTAGACGCGGCCCTGGATGTGAGTGCGCGCCAGCAGCGGGCGGCGCGTGCTGTAGATGGAGACGCGCGGGTCAAGGCTCACCCGTGGCCGTGGTCCGAGGTCTGCGGGGCCCGCGGTGGGCGACACAGGGGGCGACATGGGGGACCCGGGCCCCGAGGCTCCGGGAGGCGCGATGGGAGCGTAGAGCGTGCCGCCAGCCGGGCCACCCTCAGTCAGCTCCAGCGAAAAGGGACACTTCTTGGCTAGTCCCGCGCTGCCCCGCCGAGCGCCCAGCCGGAGGCCCCAGCCCGCGCGCTTCCTCTCCGCACTCGGCGGGGACGACGCTGAGTCCATAGTCGGGCAGGACCCCTGGACGCGCCGGGCCTCAGAGATGAGGTGAAGGCGGCACAGGGCGCTGGGTGCAGTGCGGGTAGCCGCTACAGCCAGCCCAGCCACCGGGGGCCGCTGTCCGCCTGGCCTGGGGGCGGGGGAGGGGGCCGGTCCCCAGGGATGGCACGCCCCGCCCCCAGGACGCCCCGCCCCTGGGCGCCACCAAGCGCCTACCTGCAGCCAGGCTCAGCCAGCAGCAGGCCACCTGCCGCTCCACGCCGTGCCATTCCAGGCTGCTCGCAGCTCTCCCCTCTGTGAGCACCTGTTGGGCGCACGTGCTCATCAGCACTCCGAGGCCCTTCCGCCCTGCGGGGCTCTAAAGTCCTCTAACTGGGGACTAGCAGGTGCCACCACCAAGAACCGGATGGAGCACGGGCACTCTCCCGCCCTCTGAAACTGCCCTAGAGAGGGAGGGGGAGGCTGAAAGAAGGAAGGGCTTCTCCGGGGTTCGCGTAGACACTCTTGGGCACAGGATAAGGAAGTGTTGACCCAAAGAACACTGAGCATCCTGGAGTGACAGAAGTCCCTACTGGCAGTGGCAAATGCAAACGTGCCCTCCCAGTAGCTAAATGCTGCCCACTAAGAATGTGGGATTGAGGAGATGAGGACCGACCATGAGTGGCACTCAGTGAGAGCTAGCTAAAGTTAGCCGAGCCAGGGGCTAGATTGGGGGTTTTTTTCCTGGTAGACCCCGCCTGCGGGGCTGCCTGGGCAGGTAAAGGGAGAAACGTTTGCTCCTCCCCAGGGTCATGAAGGAGCTTCTTGTCCTGGAACTCTTGTCCTGTGAGAACAGAGTCAGAAGATTTGCTCAGCCGGCTCTTGGGAGCTGCTTCGACCAGGTCTACACTGGCCTTTGTGTGGATCCCAGAACACAGATGTGACCAATATCTTCATCTCCATATTCCAAATACAGCAGAAGAAAAGTGTGCCTTCAATAAGCACCCAGGTGGTAGTACGGGTCTATAGTCCCAGCACTCGGGAGGCAGAGGCAGGAGGATCAGGAGCTCAAGATCCTCCCAGGCTCTACAGCAAGTTCAGGATCAGCCTGAGCTACATCAGACCCTGCCTTAAACCAACAATAAAGTATTGACACTAGATGGGCATGCAGAGAAGACGAAGGAGCAGCCAGGCCCACCTCTCACACCCTGCACGAGAATAACTTTCAAGTGGTGTCCTTGTTATCGTCAGTTGTCAACTTGACTTAGCCCAGAGTTATCTAGAAGGGAATCTCAACTGAAGGACTGCCTAGATTAGATTAGCCTGTGAGTGTGTCTGAGGGGGGTTGTTTTGATTTAATTGATGGAGGAGGGCACAGCCCACTGTGGGTGGCATCTGTTCCTTGGGCTGTATCTGGTCCTAAGTTGGCTAAGAAAGCTGGCTAAGAATGGGCCTGATAGCAAGCAAGTCAGCAGTGTTCCTCTGGGGGTTCTGCTGTGCTTTCTTGGCTGTGAATGAGTCCTTTGATGGGAGATGATGCCTTGTGGAATAGTGAACAAGCCTGCTTCCAGGTTCCTGATCGAGGCACTGCCCTGAGCTCCCTTGACTATGGGACTCTAACCAGTAAACTGAAATTACTCGCCTCACCTCAGTTGCTCTTGATCCTGGTGTTTACCACAGAAATAAAGGGAAGCGAGGACAGCTGGATCAAAGGCTTTGGCATAAAAGTTAAAATAAAGTTCTTCAGAAAGGACTTACGGGTGAGGGCTGAGGGGAGAGGCAGAGATAGAGTGTGCGCCTGTCGGCTGTCCTGAGGAGATGGCAGGCAAAGGAGGAAGAGCTCTGCCTCAAGAAACCAGCACTAAGGAAAACATTTCCCACTGTGCTGTGAAATCCGGAAGCATCAGATAAAACAGAAAGCCACCACAGGGGAAGTCAGAGATAAAGGACACGCTGGGACAGTCTCCACATTTTCACCACCACAGGCAAGGGATTCATACCACTAGTACATAAGGAGCATCTAAAGCCAGAGAAGACTGTGGCAGACAGTGCTATGGGAGAGAGGGCTGAAAACAGGACCAGCACACAGAGAAAGAGGCATGTGGCCTTGGTGCCTCCGGAAAAAAATGTTCAGCCTCACTCATAACAAGAAAATGCAAATTAAAAGTACACTCTGATACCAGTGGCCCACTATCTGATTGGCAAAACTCCAGGTGTTTGACGGCACAATCTTTGGGAAAGGCTAGGGTGGCAGGTGCTTTCCTAATCACCGGTGGGAAGGGCGTTTTAGTAGTCTAGCAAAAGTGTATGTGCCCTTTGACCCGAAAATCCCACCACTAACTAACCCAAAGACAAATGAGAGGGGGGAAAAATGAAAATAAAACTGGGCATGGTGGGACACATCAGTAATCCATATACTTGAGAGGTAGGTAGAGGCAGATATGAGGAGTTCAAGGTCATCCTCAGCTACATAGTGAGTTCAAGGCCAGCTTGAGCTATGTAAGACCCTAGAGAGGATAGATAGATAGATAGATAGATAGATAGATAGATAGATAGATAGATAGATAGAGAATAAACACATGAACCTTGTACTGCAACACAGCTTATATTAGCAAACCACAAGAAATAGCTAGAGAGATGGCTATGTGGCTAAGAGTGCTGGCCCTTCAAGCCTGAAAGCCAGAGTTCACATCCTACCACACACCTAAATGCCAGCTGTGACCTGTGCATGCCTATAACCCCAGCACCGAAGAGTTGGTGCTAGGGTCTCTGGGACTCTTGGCTTCAGTCAAACTGAAAGACTCAAACTCTAGGTTGAATGAGAGAGTCTGCCTCAAAGGAACAAGGCAGAGTGATAGGGCGGGACACCAGAGGCCCTCTGCACAGGCGACCAGGTGCATGCATCTGCACACACATGTGAAGGCATAACACACACACACTTAGGTATCCTTTGGTTGATTGAATTATATTCTAACACAACCACAAACCACAAATTGAATCATCAGTAATAAGATTGACGGGGACCCACTCCAGATGCCCCCAGGCTAAAATCTTCAGTGTTCAAGTCCTTCACATAAAACAGTATGGTCTGTTCTTAGAACTTACTACATCCTCCAGTGTGGCTCAAACCATCTCTAGATTCCTCAAAATTACCTAGCACAATGGGAATGCCAGATCAAGTGTTGCTGCCTTATACTGTTGGGGAAAGAATAAGAGACCGCACTAGTCCATTCCAGCTGGAATTTGTTTTTCAAATATCTCCCACCTGGTGTGGGCTGCAGAACCTAGAGATATGGAGAGCTGACTGTCTGAACAAATCAAACATATATGTTTACATATCAAATAAGCAATCCTTTTGAGTTCCTTAGGAACCAAGATATAAAAGATACAGAAGTAAAAATCAAAGAAGTACAAACAAATCTTTAAATGTGAGTTTGAAATGTTACCATAATCTCCTCCGTTAGTTTCTCAAAATTACTTCATAGCTATATCCACTAAAACCTTTGGAAAGAGCAGGCTGAGGGCGTGGATTGGGCGGTAAAGTGTTTGCTGTGTAAGCATGCGGACCTGAGCTCAATTCCCAGAACCCACATAAAAATGTGCGGCATAAAGTGCATGGTGGCGCATGCCTTTATCCCAGCACTCGGGAGATAGAGGTAGGTGGATCTCTGTGAATTTAAGGCCAGCCTGGTCTACACAGTAAGTTCCAGCACAGCCAGGGCTGTGAAGAGAGATCTTGTCTCAAAAATCAAGGTGGATTGCCCCTGAGGAAAAACACCAGAAATTTGTCTTCTGACCTCCACACACAGGTACACCCATTCTCTCTCTCTCTCTCTCTCTCTCTCTCTCTCTCTCTCTCTCTCTCTCTCACACGCACACACACAGCCTTGTGCTCACACAGGTACACCCCACACACCCACACCCACACTTTTTTTGGAAGGGTCTAAGTAACAGCAGAAGAATTCCAACAGCACAAACAATTATGAAAGCCTTACACAGAGACTCACATCTGTAATCCTGGAATCCAGAAAGTTGAGGCAGGAGGATTTCCATGAGTTCAAGGTCAGCCTGGTCCACAGTGAGCTCCTATCTCCAAAAACAAATAGAGATTAAAGCTTGCCAAAGCCTAAAACCCAATTTGTTCGTAATGAGACTTGGAAAGTCCTCATTGTCCTTGGACAGTTGCTTGGCTCATTGTTCTGAAAGCTAGACGGGAGGTGGGGTGAAGTGTAGCCTGCCTTGCCTTCTCTGTACCAACTTCAGGGTGCGAGGAGGCCATGCCTGCCAGAGGTACACACGGAAGAATGTGTGGATAGCAGTCTGTGACGCAGGAAAACTGCTTTGCCCCGATCAACAGGAAGAGGATAGGGAGTCAGGTGCAGATTAAAGCAGACTGCCTCTGAATTGGGGAGTGTTGGAGCTACACTGAATGCTCACATTTTACTGAGCTCCTTATTCTCATGTACATCTCCATCTTTTTCAATTATATTGATAGTTGCCCAGGTCTGTCCTGGGGGATGACAGAGAAAGGGAAGAACGCTCTCTTAGGACCTACGAGTTGCTTGCCACCGAGTCTGACAGTCTGAGCTGGACCACTACGGCTCAGGTGGGAGGAGAGGACACTCCCTCCTTAGCCTCTGACCTCCACATGCATGCCACGGTATGTACATTTGCACACACAACAAATAAAGGTTTTGTTTTTAGTTAAGGGTCTTGGGAATGCCTGTCCTGCCCTGGACAGGGAACCTGTTCTGGAGGACACTGAGGCAAAAGGGATACTGGGCAAGGACCTGCCATCCTGGTCCTTGGACAGAGAATGGGGGGGGGGTTGCTGAGCAGGGTGGGAACCAAAGACGAGGACTCCAGGTGTACTGGGGAGCACAGAGTTAAGATGGGCTGGGCTCAGGGTGAGGCTACAGCTGAAGCTGAGAAAGTAAAGGCTGGCAGCCCAGATCAGGAAACACATAAAACCCTGCCTATGGGTGGGTAGCAGGGTGGGACCCGAGGGGCCCTTCAGCCTAGAAGTCAAAAACCTCTGGGGTAGAGAAGAAGCAGATTGCTTAGGCCATGGAGGTCTGAAACTCTAGGCATGGGACTCTGGGGTGCCACCTGCTCCTGCAGAACTCTTCCTTTACCAAAGAAGCACCTCCCACTCCCACAGTCACTGGGGGGGGCACACATCCCACCAGACTGCATCCTTCAAGAGCACCTTCTCACTACCTGTCGCCGAGCCTTGAGATGTTATGGAAACCTTGTGCCCACCTTTCTACATGCTGACTTCCTAAGGACTCTTTGCCAGTCCATATGCAACCCATTACCCACTCATTCCTTGTTCCTCTGATGAGGTCAGAGGGCAACAACAGGAGGTGCCTCTGAGGCTATCATGAGGATAGGGAAACAAGGGCTGATGTCTTCTTTAGACCAGAGTCTACCAGCCGACGGCTATTAGGACAGTCAGTCTTCCGAAGACTTCCCAGATGTTATCTCTCTTCAGCTTAACTTCCCATGCATTCATCCCCAAAGTCTTGTATGTGCTGCCATGGGGCCATCATGTAGAGGTGAGCAAAATAATGAGCAGACTTGGCAAAACTCAGAATTATCTGAGATACACATCGACTAATTGCCTAGACCAGATTGGTCTAGCAGCGTGTCTGTGGGGGATTCTCTCAATTTCTAATTGATATAGAAAGGCCTAGCTCATGATGGTGGTACCATCCATCCCCTGGGCAGGTGATCCTGGGCTAGGTAAGAAATCTTGCTAAGCGTGAGCTTGTGAGTGCACCAGCTAGTTGTGTTCCTCCATTGTTTCTGCTTCAATACCTGCTTGAGTTCCTACCCTGAGTTTCCTCAATGATGAACTGTGACCTGGAAGGAGAAATAAAGCCTTTCCTCCCCTAAGTTGCTTCTGGTCAGAGTGTTATATCACAAATACATAAATCAAACTATAACCCTCACTGAGGGCTCAAGGGGTCTCTACAGGGACTCTTCACTTAACCTGGAGGAGAATGGCTGTCAAGGCTCTCCACATGCAGTAGATCCTCAATGCTAAACAGATGAATGGTCAAGGGAAAGGCATGAGATACATGCCTTCCCACTGTGAGCCCCTGATGCCTCTCTGTGGGTCCTCCTTGCTGATGACTATCCTTGTGAATGGGACACCCAGAAGTTGTACTTCCATCCCTCCTGCACCTCACAGGCAGCTGCTGGGGTGTCCTCTCCTCATCTGAGGATGTAAAGATTCGTCATCTCAATCAGCTTGCTCTCCAGGCCTGGGAAGGGGGACCTAGGACCTTCTCTAGGCAAACACTGAGGTGGTGTCACTGGGCAGGGCCTGGCACCATTCCCTCCCACGAAGGGACCCAGGATCACAGTTGGACAAAGGCAAGACTGGGCCTGTCCAGAGTCCTCCAGGCCTGAGGTATTGTCTTCGACTCACCCTGTATCTGAAGTCATTTCACTAGGTGCATCGAGTAGCCACTGTGCTCTGCACTGTGGGTGAAGGCTGGACAGACAATCCAAGCACACATTCATGGAGAAAGTTGCCCTGTGAACCAGTCCTTATGCATATGTAGAATCAAAGAATGGGGGCTCCCTGGGTGTTCTTCTCTCTCATGGAGCCCTGAGAATTGGTCTAGGCCTCACTGAGACCAAGAGAGCGCAAGAGCCTGAGGACAGAGTGGTAGGAGCTGGCATGCTGTCATTCAGCCACCCCTTACTCACAGGCCACACCCACCCACACTCTCCTCTTCCAAGATACCACACTGGGAACCAGCTGGCAATACTGAGGGTCGTGTGCAAGCGTGTGCAGTTGTGCATGTGTGTTGGACACATGTAAATCGTCCTTTGTGAGCTCCCTTTTGTGACTGCTCCGAGGGCAGGCTCCTAAGAGCACAGTGAGAAGGGTGTGCTCAGAGTAGGAGCAACCTGATAAGGAAGCAGGAACCACCCTGCAGGGCCACAGCTATACCCAATTTAACAAGGCTGTATGAGGTGAGCAGACTTTCTCTGAAAACTTCACCCCTCATTCCCAGAGGTATCAGAGATTTACCATAAGTGCTTACTTTTAGTTGGGCCCTCTGGGGAAGCTGCCTCGGGTCTCTAGAAACCCACATATACTCCTGAGGCCAAGCCTACCCATAGGAAGCCCTTCTAGACATTGTTCTGAAGTCAGCATTGATCTTCCAAATCCCAGGAATGAGCTAAAAAAAATTGAGGACTGTCAGCACTTGCCTTATACTGGGAGCATCAGTTTGAGCAAATACTGAAGAGGCCCCTTTCAAGGAGCTACCACCATCTGCCTCAGAATTCACTCCTCTACTTCCAAATGGGTGTCATAGAGAGCAGTCCCAGGGCCTTGGAGTCTCAGACTTCCTCAGAGATCCGTGGTAGTAGCCTGCTCAAGAGCCCCCCCCACACTCAGGATCCCTTAGCTGGTAGCCTCACTGATACCTCTAGCCCGCAGTGCTCCACCCTGGGCATCTGCTAAGCCAC